TATCGTAATTATATTGGTTAAATTTGAAACAAACCTAAAAATATAGTACGATACATTATATCATCATATACTCATTAATATTTCTCAATATTTAGTGGGACCATTTTTAACATTTATTATAACTTTTAATGTCATAGCTTCTTAATGAAACATTTATGGAATTGTTGCTACATGACCATTTAGCATCTCATTTTTACATTTTATAGAAATACTTTACTGCTAGCAAAGTTTGAATAGTAAATTTTTGGATACCCTGTATATTAATTTTTAGTATATATACTAAAATTAATTAAATAAGTACATGTATTGCTTGCAATAAATATCTTGTATCTTCTATGTGCATTTTCGGATTGGTTTCACATTTTACCAATTTAATCGCAACAGTCCTCTTTCATTACAGTGTTAATGAAATTTTAAAATATTGCATATACGTGTAATACACATAATATAAAAGTGCGTATACATATAAAAGTTCTTCTATAGTGTAAGTCTTTCAATACTTTCGTTGCATATCTTGTATTTCTTTTATTTGACGTGCGTTGATTTTCATGTCGTAGAATTCATTTTGTAATGTACTCTTTCAAGGCAGGGAGGAAACAATCACAAGAAACAAGTATTCTCGTGTCGTGCGACGTGTAATTTGTTGTGTAAGGACCATTGTTTTCGCAATTTCTATGGAAGAAATGGAAAGCGTGTAGCTTCCTGTAAATCTTCCCTATAATACACGGAAATGATTTCGTTGGTATGAGTTTCCATCTTATATTAGAGTCATGATTTTCTCTACGTTCGCGAAATTAAAAAAAAAAAAAAAAAAGACACAAAGAAAAATATTCCATCGTATCTCTTTATACATACATGTATGTATCATATTGTTATATTATTTTTTATCGTATACACGTTCATATATAAATATATATCGTTCGAAATTATAAATTCGAGACATGATTAATCAAAGTTTTTGTTTCTGAAAAAACCCGATATCGAGAATCTTGCATCCTGTTGGGACGTCGTATCGATATTTAAATCGATAAAATAAAAAAATGGAATCAATGTTTTGATGGTAAATATCGGATATATGTCCGTTTATAAAAGTGGTCTAATGGCCCCAATTTAAGTCCCCAATGTAACACAAAATAAGTGATACAGTGAATTTTTTTCTTTTTTCTTAAATTTTCATAAATATGAACATGTATATGAAAAGCATTATTCATTGTATGTACGATCGCTTTCATTGGTTAGTACCTTTGAATGACGCGTTTGTTCGAATAGTGCCATGAAAATTGCTAAAATCTTCGGCGTAGCCTAGCATTGTTAATTCTAAGCTACTGTTGTTGCCACGCACACGTTCCAACCGCTGTATTAACGTTATTAGAGTGGAAATCCTGGTTGGATGTACTTATTTACATCGTCGCTCTACCGATTCTCCTCTTATTCATAAAAATTCTCATTCTCTGGTCGATGCATTGTTTGTCACTACTCTCATTTCCTTTTTCTTCTCCAATTTCAAAATGCAACAATAATACTTTTTATTTTCGATACCTTGGAAACCTTTTATTTTGGCGGCACGACACCGACTTGGGCTTGTCGATATATAAATTTTTGAATCGTCGATCGTTATCTGGCACAGTCCCGGTTAAAATAGAAGAACGAACGTGTTGACAGTCGTGAGTATTTGAAATATCCGCGAGTTCTCGTGCTCGATCGCAGTGATGAGATATATATTTATATATTCTTAATTCGTAAGGGAGCAGTTCCGCAATATTTTCACCTGGTATGCGACACGTAGCGGAGCACTGCAGTATTTTAGTTAGGTCGAACTGCGCTTTGAACCGTTGCCAACGTCTTTCTCTTTGTCATCCCGGTTTTTCCTCTTCGTCGCCCGAACATTCTGTAACCTCGCCTTTGTGCTCGTGTCTACTATGGGTATTCTAGGTCAAGTGTGTATTTTAATAATCATCAACGTTGATGAAGATTTTTCCAAGTTATGCGCACACTTGCTGACTTGATCTCTGCAATATTGTCGTTTTAATCACAAGTGATTAAAATTTGTAACGCTACGATATTTGTATTTACAGGCAGAGGCACTTGTACAACTAAATGGTAAATTGGTACAAGAATAATTCTGATTGGTAATTAGAGACCTTGGCGCAAAAATTTCGAAATAATAACAAAACGTTTGAGCTTAGGAATATAGGTTTATGATTGACTGAACGTACGTATGGGATCACAAAAGTAATTTCTACACCTAACAGAATAATAAAGAACTGGAAGTTCTCCAAAGTCATATTTACGATATATTCAAAAATTTCAAAATAGTAATAAAATATTAATTTTATATAGATTTATAATTAATTATAAAAGCACAGAATTAATTTCTACATCTAAGAATTATCGTGTGTTATTTTCTTTTCTGCTACGGCAAACAATACCAAGTGTACGGTTCAGCGATCTCATCGGTGTAATTCTTTTCTCTGTCTTTATTAGAAGTTAGGCAGTGTTGAGTAACTGGGCGGAAGTGCGTCGATTTTTAAGTTAATCTTGCTGCTTGCATCATTTTAATTTGACAATAATTATGATGCACAAAAATGGATAGAAGATTACTTGCTACCAGACATTCCATCCTGATAATATAACATTCGAAAAATGGAAGTTTATATAAGGAAAACTTTATCGTACATTAAATTATTAGAAAATTTCTTTCCCTTTCCCTACAGTATATTAAAAATCATCTAATGACACCAGAATTTAATAAAAGTTCCAAAGTTCCGGATATAAAAAATGACTAAAGATATAAGATTCGGGTGAGATACAAGCTGAAGTATAATAGAACTCCGTTTATGTGAACTTGTCAGGAAACAAATATAAAATATAATTTATATAATTGGAGGTTCAGACAAGAGGATTCAATCAGAGTTCGTGTAGTTATTGACTGAAATTCAGTCCAAGTAAATGGAGGTCTATTGTAAAATGAACTACGTTGACGACGTTATGTTAAAAAAAAAAAAGGGATTTCGTCATCGAAGCGTAATCGAGTTACCACCTTCTTAATACAGTTTACTGGTACGTGCAGAAACGGAAATTTCCCGAAGTTATCCGCACACGGAGGGCACTGTCCTTAATGCGTTGCATAACTTACATTCATTACGGAATCCTCCGGTGGCGCCTCTATTTTTATGCGCCAGTATACCGTACCGGCGACTAACCGTTTTACGATTATATTACTGGAATCTCTATGTTAGTGAAGCGCCTCCTGACCGACGCCAATCAAAATCCGTGCTAGACATCTAGATTTTCCTCTCTCTTTAAATGCAAATGCGTTCAATAATAGATGCTTGTCGACGTTTCCCAGACTTTCCGGCGAGGAAACATCTATAAATTAATTTCATTCACCGCAAATCAAACTTGTACATACTGTATTATCATTTTCCGATTGTTCAAATTACAGCGACCGTTCACTTTGACCACAGTTCATTACTGCTTCGATATTTGCTCCAATTATACACTGAGACGATGAAAAGTTTTCATTGAAATTATGCATTTTTATCGTGTGAAAAATCGCCAGATCATTGGTTACAATCTTGAGAAACAAAAGATAAAAAATTGTCTTTGTTCACTTTTGATTGTAACGACACGAGTGATCGAATGCGTTGGTTACCGAGATGACTTTTTGAATGCTCACACTGTTTGAAAGGTACTGTGTATTTAAACTGGGACTGATATCTTGATATATGAACGATCAGGTTGAAACATAAATGATACCACATGTTACTGCTTGCTTAAAATTGCGTTAATCAATTTTTTGTGTACGTCATACCTATTTTAGAGTCTCTGCAATAAGAAGCATTTTCACCAGCATTGAGCAAAAAAATTAAATACCTATGAAGAAATTAATTGATCTCTTGCATTGTAAATGCAGCTTTCTTCAAGAGCTTTTGCAATTTACGAAAAATAGATAAATTAAATAGAGGGGAAGGTACGGAAAGAGGCGTGAAGTCTCAGTGAACTCGATCGGACACGCTTTCTGTTTTTACTTGGTCTCTAGAACGGGCGGTTACGCTCCTCGCCCGAATAATAAACACGACTTTCCATTTTCAATGTAAACGATGTTCTGTCGAACGCAAAAAAAAAAAAAAAAGAAAAAAAATCGTTAGAGAACCCTTGTGAAATCGTACTTTGCTCCGTTACGTATTATTCATATAATTATTCCCCTTTAACCGGTGTGCTCCAAAATAATTTCTCCGTTTCCTTGAAGAACTCACTATTATAGTTACATGTACAATCTTGTAACGAACTCGTAAGAATGTATAAATACGTACGTAACGCTGGTGTTAGGTTAAATTTAAAATAGGCAAGATTTTACGTGGTATTACAGACGATCACGTGAGCAATATCTACGAGTAAACAAGAGGGGATATAGTTTGAGGGTAAACCATGGAAAGTCGCGTTGTATTCTGCTTACAATTAACGAAGGATGGTGTGACGATGGTTTTCCATATTTTTCGTCTGTAGTATCTACGCTCGGTTCACAGGAACAACGTGTTGCTGTATATACGTTCGGCGGTGAACGGCGAGTCGTCGCGAATGATACAGGTCCCCGCCGGTTCGTTCCGACGTCTCTGAACTGTATTTCGCTAGCAAAAGTGTGGCGTAAGAGCGACGAAGAGTTCGACGCGGATAGCGAAAGAGCGAGGGAGGAGGGAGGAGAGAAGACAAAGAAACAGTTACGAAGCGCCGAGTGCAAGAGGGAGTTGACCGTAGAAAAAGTGGCGACGGTGGTGGGGCAGTTAGCGACAGAGTGTGCCGGTGGTGGTACACACGCGGGTATCTCTCGGCGAAGGTACCGCCGAGCGTGCATGGATACACGAACACGCACCGCGGATCGAACAAAGAAAGAGAGCAAGGAGGGAGGCAGAAGGAAAACCGACAGTCGACAAGAGAAGGAGGAGGAGGAGGAAGAGGAGGAGGAGGAGCGGTAGAGGAGCACAGCACGAAGAAGCAAGTTGGCAGAGACAGTGCCGAGAGAGAAGTGGCGGTCGGTCGGTGGCAGTTCGAGTCTGTCGTCAGGTCAGGAAACGTGCGGCCAGAATCTCTGTCTCGTTGGCAAACGTTCTCTCCACGATCTACGTTTCCTTCCTTATCTCTCAGTTCAGTTTCTCGCGAGCCGGATGAAAATTGTGCAATCGAGGCCCTCGCTCACCACGCCTCTCAATATGGGTTAAACGCGGTGTTTCCTTCGAACGTGTGCACCCGACCAAGATCAAACGCGATCCGATCGTACCTGTTGTGTGTCTCCGGGACTTGGCTTCGGCCGTGTGCTCTCTCTGTGAAAATTTTTGTGAGTTCCAAGTCCGAGAGATCGAACCAGCATTCGATTGCTCGGGTTGCTACTACGTTTTGTTTCGTTTCGTGCACGATCCACGAGGGAAGGGAATATTTAATTGTTCGTTGCAAGTAACCAGGAAAGGAATACGCGGGTGTCAGTGTTGGTTTTTATCGAAATCGAATGAACCGTGTGCATCGGAGAATAGCATCGATGATAGCGCAACGAAACGCGGATAATGCGGCAACTACGTGACCGACCGAGCCAGTGCGAAAGATCCAAAGAACCTCGACCTCCAAAGCACTTTGCCGACGGTGAAGGCCCTCCAGGAGTTTGCGTTCGTCCCGGAGGGACAAGAAAAATTCAGGAATGCGATTCTGCTCGTTGCACTTGAAGGGTTGCGGTGCTGAATAGTTCACGGAATAATTCGTTCGATGTTTGCGAGCGAAAAGTCCACGAAAAGATTCTTACGCCGATGTACGAGAAACCGTTAATCGAGACTAGACTGGATCGAACGAAGTAGGACAGAGTGCAATAATCCTACTTAAGGAAAAGTATACGCCGTGTATTCTTTTCTTTTTTCTTTTTAAATATATATATATATATATATATATATATATATATATATATATATATTTTTCCTAATCAATCGATCTAGGATCTTTGAATCGCGAAGAGTCGAATGTTCGATTTTAAAACGCTTCCCTTATCTGCATAAAATTTACCTGGATGTCACGGATACCATGGTGTAGCATAGTATTACGTAGAAACATATGAAAAACCAAGTACCTTGCAACGTACCAAATAAATCAATTTTGCTAAAGAATTTTTTAAGAAAACTTGAAATAATTAAACGCGGAGGACGTTCGAAATTTACAAAGGACTGGCCCTTTCGTTTTCACGAAAGACAAAAGGGAGGGGGGAGGGGGGAAGAAAATCGATCAGCAGATAAATTCTGCTAAATCGTTCGTAGCCGAGAGATCAGCGAAAGAACAGCCAATACCTGAAAGAGTTGTCGGGGGTTGTACGTGCAACAAGTTAGAGGGGAAGCACGTGACTGTTGGCTGCTAGAGCAAACACATCCGAGAGACATAGACATAGATAAAGCTCGGAAGCGACGACCGCGAAATCTTTAGATACGCGCGCCGCAAGGAAACATATTCATGTTCTCTCGTTCTCTCGAGTTCGAAGAGACTGATTCGAAAAATAAAGAAGCGTGCCGCGCGAGAGACTCGAAGGGCGTCTTGTCGCCTATGCCACGCATTTCGGGAACATGTAGCAACCTGCTCGAGCTTCCCCTAAGCGATTCTGTACAGAGAAGGGTGTGCAAAGCCTTGAATGACTTTCCCATTCTGTGGGTTTGTTCTCGACTCGTCCGACGAGAGGACGAGACAAATGCCCGTCGCTTCGGACGATTGGGTCCCGCACCCGGCTAAAATAACCAGTTCCATCACCACCGTCAAAGGTGCCACTATCCAAAGCACAACCACAGCTTGGATGTCGCCGTACAGCAGAGCATCGCCATCCGAACGCTCGACGTCCAACAACAACAACAACAATAATAATGGAGTTGTTATACTCGAAGGATGTAGACCGCCCGCAGCCACCACTGCCAGAAGGTTTCTCAGGTGGTTCAGCCGACTTGGTCAGCCACCGATCGGAAAATCAGGTAAATTCGAAAGTGAATGTCAACGTTTCCTTCCTATTGCGTCAACCAATTAAAAGCAGCTTTAGTTGAGCCTCGGACAAACGCGGGATTAAACAGGAGATAAGGTTACACGCGGATTTTTCTTGTTTTTTTCTTTCTATGTCGATATACAGATGAAAATGTTTACGACGATTTACGACCACTTTTACTTAATGAGCAATGTATCTATAAATCTTGAACTACCTTATTACTTGCTTCAACCGTGGCACTTACTATATTAATGCATGTACGCGTTTTCTCTTCATTATAATTTTCTTTTCTCTGACCAATCTACGACAGTCTGTATTACAAGACTGTTATAAGGGTCCATATTATGAGAATGTGATATACGAAACGAAGCTAAAGTCAATAATATGGATTGTTACGATGAAGTTTCTGGAGGGTCAACTGTATTTTTAATTTAATACTATTATAATTTAATTTATATATTTTAATTATATAACAATATATGATATATTTTAATTATAAAAATATAATATATATATATATATATTTTAATTTAATATTTAATACTGTAATTTAATTTTTCATTCTCTTGGCATTTTATCGCGAAGCATCTGATCGAAAAGTGCACGTTCGTTCCTTCGTTTTATTTATCCCTGCTGCTCTCCTTGGGTCTGCACATTTCTTACATTTCCAAAGAAATTCTTAAATATTTGATTTTAACCTTCAGTTACTTCTTTATGCTCCACGCTTTTTACAAATGAAGTGTTGCAGAAGAGGAAAGATGTCTAAAGAAACAAAGGAACTGATGGAAAAAGCGAGGAGAACAGCAAGGTTAATTAATTCGAGATAGGGTTAATCGATTGCGGAATTTCTCGGGTAGGTGAATTCGAAGCGAATGACTCGATGACTGAAACGTCATCACGAAACGATATTCTTTTTTCTTTATTTTTTTATTTTTTATTGAGGATTCCCTGACTTGGTGCATCAATATCGGTTAATGCAGTACAACAGTTAGTTCAATTACTCTCCAGTCGCAGACTAACTACGTTTGCGTGTAGGAGTACTCGTGATCGAGCACAAGATCGATCATGTTCCCGGGGAATAACATACTTGAGTATACTCTCGTCTTATTATAGTTAGCTGCGTGGTACTGTTAGTCATCGCAGGTGTTCCGTACACATGGCAGTGGCCATTAATAAAAAGACTGTACTTACCAGTCGAACCTACACTTATGGCGGTAACAGATAATTGAATAGAGGAGCCGTACGTATACAATTAATACGAAAGCGTTGTCACTAACGGTGGTTTTTTTTTCTTCTTTTTTCCTTTAACGAATCGTAACTACCGATCCGGTTTCAAGGAAGAACCAGACAAATTTTCTTCATTTGCTTTCACCGTTTCTCCTCATGACATTACATCATCTCGAAACGATGATTTCAAGGAACGTGTAATCCGCGGGGCGGAGGTTAAAATTGTTATATTGTTTGTTAATATGCGCGTTACTCTTATTAAAATCAATCAACTGAAGTAAGAAACGAACGATTTGATAAAACTGTTTTATGGTCAAGATTGTAATTACCAACAACGAAAAGATCACCTGTGATTCTTTTGCGAATCTTCCCTATTCAAATTTTGTGATTTCGATGAATAGCTTTCTCGGCTTGAAAAATAGTTAACTGGGCTTTTTTCAACAGTACGTTTATGCCAGCGTATATATATATAGAATCTCTGTAACGATCAGTGTCAAGTTCCTGGTATTTAACGATGCGTCGAGTATTTGGTGCAATGTACTCGAGCTACCATGACGAATGCAGAATCGTATTAACGGGTCTTCCTATTGTGCGATCTTCGAAAGTCTCGAAACAGACTGTATCTTTCTATAGCGTTTCCCTCTTTTGTATATACAAAATATATACAGAGTGTCATGTAACTGGTGGTACAGGCGGGAAGATGGTGATTCTACGTGAAAAATTGAATGAAAAATACAGAATAAAAAGTTTTTCGTACGAAGCTTCGTCTTTCCGAGAAAAATAGCTTTGAATGTTTATCGAGTACACGTGCGCTTGATCAAGATTCAGCTCAATCATTGGAAGACATTCCTCTTGAAATTCGAAGAAATTTAATTTACCAACAAGATGGAGCACCATCGCATTTCAGTCGTGAAGCGAGAAATTTTTTAAACGAAAACTACCAATATTGGATCGGCCGTAATGGAAGAATATCTTGGTCACCACGATCTCCGGACCTGTCACCGCTGGATTTTTACTTACGAGGTCATGTTAAATCTATGGTGTATTCTAGCGACACAGCGAACGTTGAACAATTAAAAGAAAAAATTATTATAGCGTTCGCAACATTGAAACTACAAAATAACACATTGGAAAATGTTCGTAGCAATTTAATAAGAAGAGCACAGTTGTGCATGCAACAACGTGAGCATCACTTCCAACAATTTTTAAACTAAAAAAACATTGGTGAAAAGTAGACATTCTGTGCCCCCGCGTACGAACATTGGGAATGTCTGCAATTATTAGTAGAGATAATAATGAAATCCGTTGAGTTGAATCTTGATCAAGTGCTCGATAAACGTTCAAAGCCATTTTTTTTTCTCGGAAACAAAGCTTCGTATGAAAAAATTTTATTCTATATTTTTTATTAAGTTTTTCACATGGAATCACCACCTTCCCGCTTGTACCATCAGTTACATGACACCCTGTAATATATAATATTATTATAATATCCCTGTCGCTCTCCTTTTATATATATGTATATATATATAAAATAAAAGCAGTTTCGTCACGTCAATATATCGATTTTTCAAATTGCATTTCTACGTGCTGTATATTCGCAAACACGCGCGTTTACGTAATGTTTGCTCCGAGAATGCGACATCCATTTCGCTCGAATTTCAGAATCGTTTCTCGCTCGTTTCGATTAATTGTTATTGGCTAAACTAAATTGCATTTATATTGGAGTCAAATGAATATACATACATATACCAATCTTTGTACAGAGCTGTTATTTTGGAGTAAGAATTGTTAATTTCTGAAAAATACCTCGACATATCGTATTTCTTTTTTTTTTTTATTTATTTATTTACTCTATCGATTATTACGAAAGAATGTTTCTTAATATTTCGTAATTCCTGTTGTATGCGAGCATCCTGGTTCATCGTTGCATTAATTGGTTATTGCATTCGATTACGTATGCTGGAAAACTAAAAACAGTTGCGAATCAGAAGTAAAGTAATTGCGAGGAACAAGCCTGCGTTAAGCAATAGTTTAAGAGTGGAAAATATGCTTTTAATATAATGGTAATTACGAGAGGAATCTACACCGTTGCTTTTAATTTGTATCATACATGTATATGGAGGATAATTACAAATACGTTCCCGATGAATATTTATGTTCGCCGAGTTTTTACTTTTGAGGTGGCTGATATGTTGTAGAAATTAAATTGTGCACAGTTTGCTCGCCATAAAAAAGAACCGAGCGAAACTAGTAAAAAGAGATTTGAACCTGCTTGGATTTAACACATTGCCGACGGAAGACGCTTCTTTTTATAATTTATATTATATAATATTATATATAATATATAAATATACATCATAATGTTATATAATTTTTCAAGAAGTGAGGAAATTATTTCCTAACATACCACACCAAGAAACGATACTAGAGATATTTTCATTTTATTTAATAAAATACCTCTAAAATGAAAAATAATTAATAATTTTAATTATTAATAAAACACTTGTTAAATGCTATACATTCTCTTGAACCCTTTCAATCATATATTAAATAACTCAAAAAATAAGAGAAAATACAAGCTATACGTTTATCAGAGCATACTGTTCTCAATGTGTTAATATAAATATAAAATAAATAATAATTAAAATCTAAAATATCTAATAAATAGTTTCTTAAATGTTACTATAAAAAAAAAAAAATAGTAATATTTAAGAATATTTCATCAATGTGAATTAAGAAGTGCATATATGCATTGTACAAAGTTTTCCTGTTGCTCCAAAAATGTGCAGATCCTGGGAGCATAAATATAAAATAAATAATAGTTCAAATCTAAAATAATAGTTAAGTATAAATATAAAATAAATAATAGTTACAATCTAAAATACGTAATAAATAGTTTCTTAAATATTACTATAAAAAAAATAGTATTATTTAAGAATATTTTATTAATATGAATTAAAGAAGTGCATATATGCATTGTACAAAGTTTCCCTGCTGCTCCAAAAATGTGCAGACCCTGGGAGCATAAATATAAAATAAATAATAGTTAAAATCTAAAATAGTTAAGTATAAATATAAAATAAATAATAGTTGAAATTTAAAATACGTAATAAATAGTTTCTTAAATATTACTATAAAAAAAAATAGTATTATTTAAGAATATTTCATTAATATGAATTAAAGAAGTGCATATATGCATTGTACAAAGTTTCCCCGTTGCTCCAAAAATGTGCAGATCCTGGGAGCATAAATATAAAATAAATAATAGTTAAAATCTAAAATAGTTAAGTATAAATATAAAATAAATAATAGTTGAAATTTAAAATACGTAATAAATAGTTTCTTAAATATTACTATAAAAAAAAATAGTATTATTTAAGAATATTTCATTAATATGAATTAAAGAAGTGCATATATGCATTGTACAAAGTTTCCCCGTTGCTCCAAAAATGTGCAGATCCTGGGAGCATAAATATAAAATAAATAATAGTTAAAATCTAAAATAGTTAAGTATAAATATAAAATAAATAATAGTTGAAATTTAAAATACGTAATAAATAGTTTCTTAAATATTACTGTAAAAAAAAATAGTATTATTTAAGAATATTTCATTAATATGAATTAAAGAAGTGCATGTATGCATTGTACAAAGTTTCCCTGTTGCTCCAAAAATGTGCATACCCAATAAGCAACAAATCTGATAGCTCGTACATGGATCGTTCGACCAACGACTTGGAAACTCGTCGAACTCGTTGCGTGTTTTCGCGCTGATCGATCTTTTTCGATATTTCGCGGTATTCAAGGTTTCGAGATGCCATCAGTCAGTCGACGATCGGTATCGTTGGACTGAACTCCGGTGAAATGTTCGTCCTCGGGGACGAGTGTGTACAACGTTATCTGAAATAGCGAGCGTTCCGCGGAACAAAAGAAGATTATTCTTGAGATTGAAACTCGCCGGCAAGCGTAGAGCACGACACGATAACTAGGCCGGAAAGAGGACGAACCGTAAACTTGATAAATAAACATTAGACTTGGTGTGCAAACCAGGTCGCGATCGTTGCCGGCATGTCGTAGAATTCGTAATAACCCGTGTTTCTTCTCCGTTCTGCCCTTCCTCTCTACAATCAGATGTAACAATTCACGGGGAAATGAACGAGCAGTACCTTCTTTCATTTCTCTTTCCCATTTTTTTTCTTTTTTTCTTCGCCATTTGGAAGAAACACGTATCACGCTAGGCAAGCAGAATTACAAATCGCCAAGTTCTTTTCGAATTATAATTCCAGAGCGAGCCGTGGATAGCGACGTTGTCGAACGATAACAGTGCCGTTACTCGAGCTTCTAATTAGACTAATGAGCGAAACAACAAGTTACGTAAAACCGTCTCGACTGTTCCATCTTATTTATTGTTAACTTGCTCACGGATTTTACGGATACGTGGCTCGATCGTCTATGCAGATACCGATCAATTATACCGGTTAATCCGTCAATTGATCTTCGATCCTCTCACTACGCCTCTGTCTACGTGTGTGTTTGTAAGTCGCGTTACCTGCTGTTTAACAACAATTTGCATAATTTGCTTGTCGGACCATTGATACGCCAAAGTTGAAAATTACTCGCCGTATTATCATATTGTATTGGTTCTTCGCGAGGCCTGCACGCTGCACTGAAAAGTTTATTTATTACGTTACGGTAATTGACAATTGATAACGTCATTATAATATCATCGTGTAATAATTTTCATAATGTTGTATGCCTTTTCAATTGGTGATCAAAGGAAAGAGAAAAAAAAAAAAAAAAACATCATCGTTGCCACACAGTCCATCGATACGCGAAATAGAGAGAGACCTCTCAACGAGAAGTCGCGTTTACGCGTTGTGTAATTCTTGGCTTGTTTACGCGTGGGTGAAGTTGAATATCACCTGGCAACGTTACGGGTAAAGTGGAAATTGCAATTCAAATCACGTTTGGTTTTCTCCTTGTGTCGAGACAATGCTCGCTTCCGGGAAATTCATAGGTTACGATCGTCAGCTTTTGCAACGTTTAGTCCAAAGGTTCACGAAGCGCGTATTTTTACGATGTTGTACACAACATATCGCGCGTGATTTATCAGAAAATCGCGTCAGAAATTGTCCGTTTTCTTTCGAGACTTTTTCAGTTTGGTAAATGGCGAGAAGACTTTGCGACGAGGCTACACAGATTTAACGGCAGATGAGAGAAACGGGGAGAAAATTTTCTTCCGCCAAGAGGAACGTTTGTTTGCGTCGAGCGCTCGTTGTCACGCAATACGCTATCAGATACGAGGTCGTTGACTCGTAATCTCTCAAGGAGGTTACACACAGGTGCTCGAGCGAGAATATTCGCCGAGCGTGTCACCTGCTTTTCGAATTGTTTTCTTAAATGCACGCGTTCTCTCGAGTTATTCTTTTCGACTTTACAGTTGTAAACGATTTAATAGAAAATATATACTCCCTCCGTTGATAACCTAAACACTTCGCGAACTTTTTTTTTTTTTCTTTTTTTTTCAAGCAAATTTTTATTCTTTCCGAGATTTGATTTAATACCGATTCTATGATATATGAAGATAGAGACTTCGTTGAGTACTCCGAAAATTTTTTCAAAGAGTTTATAGTGATTATGATAATTTATATTTACGTCACAATACTATAAATAAATAATAACTCCGTAATTAATTTTAGTTGTTTATATAAAAATATTATCAATATCACAAAATATACAATNTACTAATAATTTAAAATATTTAATGAAGATTACATAATGGAAGTTAAATGACGAATAATTTCTATAAATGAAAGTTAAATAACGAAATAACGAATGAAGAATTTCTACTATAGCTACAATATATATATATAAGTGTCAGTAAACATTTCTATGGTGATAATAAAATTAATAGCTATTTTTAAATATTCTATTGTTTATATTAAATACACATCTTTACGGAACATAGATGTCGTTGATCTAAATTGTTCGAAGTAGAGGTCGCTACAAGTTCAGCATAAACGTGACAATACGCTTGCTCACGGAGGAATGGATAATTTTTCTTTCAATGAAACAGTCGAATCTGTGTGCCTGAAATCATTGTGAAATGAATTTTAAAAATTCGTCATTACTCGTTGCTACATTTTCTAATCAGAGTCTGCGCGTTATATATGAAATCGAAAGAGATTTAAATACGTGTTCTGATAAATTTTAATCAATCCGACGTATTTTAGTAATACGATAAAAGAGACGTATCTTCGTTACGCAATGAAAGTTAGTATTTTGTTTATAACGACGATCGCGTTCGCAGTGGAAAAACTGCGTGAGTTTCGGCTCGTTGGGAAATCGAAAGTACGATTGCTTCTCAAGGCACGCGCTCGTGTAACGGTGTGTCGAAATTTGGAACAGGATT